CCGTCCAGGCCTTCCGCACGGCCCTTAAGATCTGGCTATCCCGTCAGGCCTGGGGATAGGACCTTACTCTCTCCCTGCCCGAATGCTGAGTGAATGTTGTGTTTTTATTGTTTATTTTTACTCACATTTTCTTTTATGTCTTGTCTTGCACTCCCCTCCCTCATTATTGTAAGCCGCCCTGAGTCCCCTCAGGGAAAAGGGCGGCCTATAAGTGTTTAATAAAACATCTAAAAAAAAAACCATGACCTCCCAGAAGTACTTGGGCTATCAGGTGCTGGCAGTGCAGTGGATCTGAGCATGTTCCATCTCCCACTGCGTGACATGCTTAAGAGAAAATTAACAAGCAGTTTGCATGAATCACACAAAATTGGCTAGATAATAACCCTGCATATGTGAAACACAGAGAAATCAGTGGAATAATAGCAGAGCACTTATAGGACACAGTGGATGCTTTGGGTGTTCTTCTGCAGAAGTGTATTTTAAAATACTTTCTAAAAATAAATTGTGCACTTTAGAGCTTTTATCTTCTCCCCTCCACACTTCTTCCCTCATACATTTATGAATACATGCACAAAAGGGTATGTGTATTATGGCTCACCTTGTGCAAATGCTTCCTGGACGTCTCCACCAACACCAGTAAGTGAATCTTGGGGTACATGAGTTGGGGTAGAACCAGCAGATGTGGACCTGACTGGCATTGGCATAGAGCGGCCAGCCCCATGGGTGGGGGAAGTATGTGGAGAACCAGCTGCCTGAGCCTAAAATAAATGGGAAGCCCAGTTACTACATTTCCTTGTTGAATAGCTCTTCCGAAATAAAACTCCAGCAGCATATGTTGCAAAGATGAGTGACAAATCCTCAGACAAACATTCTCTGTCTCAAACAGCATGCAAACTACTACTGGTACATGCAGTTTATAAACCACTAGCCAGATACCCGTGCTTCACGATGAAACTATGTGATTGGGCTGTGCAGGATAAATTCGGTTCACAATCAATTGGCTCAGCGGTGATCAGTGATTGAAACACATGAGGGAATATTGCCCCCACTGCCTTGAGTCCGAAAGCAGTTCCATAAGTGGAAGGCATAGACATTTTGGTGAGGTACCGATGTTTAATACTGTAAGGAGCTTCAGACCGCTCCTGAGTGAAGGTAGTGGAACGTCTGCCAGTTTGAACTGAGGTAACGGAATGTGAGGCAACTGGCAGTTGGAACAGAGTTCTTTTCAGGTGGTGAGGGGGAGTAGAACACTTTAGCATCAGAGCGTGTTTATTACTGTATAAGAAATACTAATGATCTGATGGTCATTTTGAAAAATCCTTTCTTAGAGAGCACTTAGAAGCCAAGGGGAACAAACATGCCAAATTTCAAGTTTCTAGGTTTTACGGCTCTGGAGATTTTATGATTAGTGAGTGATAGGCTACATTAAGACCATCCAGAATTTCTTGGGAGTGAAGGCAACTGTCTCATGTCTAGTTGGGCAATCTGATCTACTTCAGTTTTCCTCAGAATGGGAGCCTTCCAAATATGGGAAATAGTAGTTTCCAGGCTTCTCATAATTGGCCATGCTGGCTGAGGAATTCTGGGATATGAAGTCCACCAAGTCATGGAAGGTTTATTTAATCTAGCAGCCACAGCTCACCAAGATACCAGGGGGAAAAAAGAAATAATTCTACTTCCTAAAAGCCCTTTCATTCTGAACAGGAAGTGAAACCTGGATCCTTTTACCTGCAAGTAAATATGCTATCACTAAGGAAAGGATCCTTCCTAATTATAAATAAACCTCATGCTGTGTTAGATGATTGGTCAATGTATACTTATTCTCTGTTCTAAGGCAGGGAACATCCAGCATACTAAAGCCACATTAGCTAAACACAATTGCAATCACATTAAACACTATGCCACATTAGTATAGTTTAATGGGTGGCCTGGTTCACACTATATGCAAAGACAACAGCTGTGTTTCTACAATAAGCTAAACTGCAAACCACTCAATCCCATTTAGCCAAAGCTTGCAAGTTGTGCGAACCCAGCTGGTAAGAGATGCTTATCTGAAATTCCAGAGGCAGCAGTATTATACCACACCTGGCCTAGCCAATACTAAGATTGAAATGCCCAGAATCGTGGATCTCATCAATCTCTGCCTCACTATTAACATTTAGTTTGATGGACAAATATACCAGCACATCAGAGGAACACCCATGGGATCACCACTCTCAGGACTCAGAGACTGTAATGCAGGATTTAGAAACTACAGTACTCAACATGCAGTATTCAACTAAAAGTATGGATGTAGATGTCACTTTCATCATAACACAAAGAGAGCAATTAGAGAGAAGACACGCGAAAAAATCAACAGCTTCAGTGGAATAAAATTCACAAAAGAAGAAGAAAACATTATCCTTCCTCAATAGCCTCATCAACAGAGAATACAATGGCAATTAGAAATGCAAGGATTGAAAACAATCCACATTAACTAAGGGCTCCATTACCAAAGTAACAACGTAGCCTCCCATAAGGAGCTATATAAGTACATTATTCGGATGAGTATAAATGCACTACAACAAGGGGGTCAAACTCGCAGCCCGCAGGCTGGATTCATCACGTGCTGGCCCCGCCCTGTCCGGTTTAGCAAAGGAAAAAAAGTCCCGATACATCATGTGATGCCACTGTGATGACGTGAGTTTGACACCCCTGCACTACAACAACCCAGAACACTAGAAAAAGGAAACATACTGCGAATACCACATCTTCCAAAAAACTGAATATCTACACACTTTTATCAAAAAGTGCTGACTACTTAACCCACTACAACTAACACAAACTATGGAAAGTATAATACTGCCATACGTCAAAAACATCTCAAAACAACCAACAGACAATTATGTATAATGCCATGACATCACCATAGCAAATAAACCAACCACAACCCTCTGAAACACTCAAAAGATCTAGTAGCCCAAGAAGGAAAACAAGAGCCACTTACAACATACAGTACTGCAACGGCTACTTTGTAGGATAGACATGGAGAAAACTAGCAGAGTGCATCCAACTAGAAGTCAGAAGTCACAATGAAAACTTCTTCATATCACAACACATGGTCAGATTCAATCATAGATGTAACTGGAAATTTGTGAACATCCTAGACCAAGCTAAGTCCAAAATGCAAGGGAATTTCTGGAAATTTGGCATTCAGACAAATCAGTCATCAATTGACACAAAGAGGCAAAGCACATTTACAGATCTTTCAAAAGAGATAATAAAAAGGCTAAGAAGGAACAGGAAAGATTGGAACACATCCTTTCCAGCAACAAACCGTGAGATAAGCAGGGATTAATACCAGACAAACAAGCAATCAGAAAACAATATCCTAACTAAGGAACTACCAAGGAGAAAACCACATCCCCACCAACACTGGCAGGACAAGCTATGGCATATAAGCAGAGAGCAAATCCCATATCTACTAACACCGATTATGCATCTGCAAGCAAACAACCAAGTTCAGAGACCACCATGGACATCACAATGAGTAAGAATGACAGAAAGCTGATAATATATATTACAATCAATTTACTCAGATAACTAGCATTACAGAGTATGACTTCTACCTGGACTAGTGAATAAAAATGGAAAAGCGGAAACTAGCACTGCTAGAATTAACATTTATATATTCCAAAAGCACCCAGAAGTGAGCTTTCTATGTGTCACTATACCTATCTTTAATTTTTAAATCCAGAATGTTTTAACTGTTTTACTGCAATATTTTGTACTTAATGTATCAAATATTGTTCATTTGTTATAAGGTAACATATTGTATATCCAATAAATTACTACAGTTGTATAAACTGAATTCTACTTTGACATATTATCTAAATATCATGTGAGGAAGAATGAATTTGAGTTCCTCAGCTGAAGTTCGTACTCTGTCCCAAAGGCATAAACATTCAGCATACATACAACTGGCATTAAATGATGCATAAACAAGCTGGTAATGTATTCTCAAGGGGGCTGTATGTGTTGTATTCACTGTCCACATATGAATGGATTCTGGAGAATTAACTCTTCAGTTATGTTGGTATAATAGTGAAACACCACAGGGGAGAAAGTTTGGAGATTAATTGAATCATTGGCCTGGCTGGGAGATGTAAGAGACTGTTGAGACCTGATTTGCATTACAGAGTCTATGTTGCTCTATAAATATATACTATTTTGGTCAGGAACAATTTGAATAACATAGCACTGATGCCATGATTGGACAGAAACCACAGTTGTACTCACCATCAAAATTAAATTGGTGATATTTGTACTTTGTTATGAATCACTTCTTGTGAATGAGAATGAAAATATTTCTGATTTTCCAGATGGGGAAAAAAAAATCAAGTTATGCAATGAATGCAGCTGACCAAAGGGATATGAAGGAATATAGAACCAAACAATTCAACTCTTGGGAGGCTGCCATCTCCAAATCCCAACTAGAAGCAAGCACTGACCTTTCCTGCTGCTTTGTCCAGCTAGGTAATAATTTAAGGCAGGGGTGTCAAACCTGCGGCGTCACATTCTCATCACGTGACGTATCACGACTTTTCCCCCTTCGCTAAAACGAGGGTGGGCATGGCTAGCATGTGACAGATCTGGCCCGTGAGTTTAACACCCTTAATTTAAGCCCATTTTTGTACCAAACTCAGCTTTTGCTAGGCTTGAACTGAAAGTTAATCACGTTTCTTTTGCTCATAAAGGTTTTTTTTTTTACCTGTTACTTCCTTTCCAACTGTCTGTTATTTTATTAATTGATGTGTAAAGTAAGCTTTGCAAGTCTTGTCTTTGATGTGCACACAAATGGTGAGACACACTCATAGCTGTTTTGGATTGAGCATTTGTGAGTAATACTGTAATTACCTATTAACATGCATAACCTCTGCACATCCTCTCATATTCAGTTTGTGTCGTTTCATCTGGTTTTTATTCCTCTAGTTTTTTTTTTTTTTACCAGAAGCAGCTCCAACCTTTGAATCACATTTGCTACTATGGAAACCTTCCTGTCACAGAGTCTGGAAAGGGATCTGATGCCCTTGGAGGTGAAACGAAGTCAGTTTTTACACAGCTAAATTTGAGGAGTGCCGTAGTAAGATTCAAATAATTTAACCACCAGTTCACTGCCCTAATGACCAGCGGGTAGGCGGGCCTCGGTGGTCATGTGACTGGGTGGGTGTGACCAACTCAACATCACTCTCGTTGATGGGAGCTTCGCCTTAGCTGTTAAAATGCAATAAGTGATAACCGGAGAGGCAATTTCTGTAAGCAGGGCAATAAAGATTAGGCTAGAAGCAACACCAGAATGTTTCCTTCCTGCCTTCCTTACAGGATTAGCCCTGTAAAGTGGGAAAAAACAAAATGAGATTTCTTCCAACTGGTTCTCTGAACTGCTTAGAAAGTTAACAACCAGTTCTCCCGAACAGGTGTGAACTGGCTGAATCTCACCACTGCTCCTGATGCAGGTTTTCATTAGAATAAACTCAGGTAGGTTTTGCACAAAATCTCCAACTGACACTGAAGTTGCTGGACTTCTTTGCAACTATTTCTCTCAGAGTAAAGGCAGAGGGCAGTTACAGAATGGGGGATGTTGCTCCTTTTCTAAAGTTTAAGCTGACCTTCAAACAAACTCTATACAACCATCAGCTAATAATACAACACATAATAACTGGATTCCATCCTTTCATGGGCTTTTTGTGTACAAGTATTGTAAAAATTTTGACCAGAA